ACTTAAAATTCAAGATTATAAGTAAATTATGTATAAGTACAACTTATTAAAGCTTCATTTTTGAATTCGTATAACTAACTTCAGATAAACATAATCAAGTAGAGGATAAACATTTTATTTTAAATATAAAAAAACTAAAATATAATTAGGATAATTATTGAATTCTAATAAAATACTTAATTATTATCTTTATTAAAAATTATATTATTAAACCAAAAATAAAAAATTAATTAATGAAATACATAAAAAAAAAAAAATTTTAAGTAGTTAGTCTGGTACTAATATCATTTTTTTGTATGATATTTTCATATTTATATTTTATTCAAAAATAAAAACATTATCGCTTTCTCAAAACCACATAAAAATCCGTATTATAATATCGACTAAGAAAAAAAAATGAAATACTAAAATCGAGATGTATCTCGCTGCATTGTGCGAGTACACTTCTAGTTAATAAAAAATTATATATTCTATTTGTAATAACGACTGGAATTTTTTTTATTGGCAGTAAAATAACAAAGGAGTCGATAGACATATAAATAAAGTACTCATAAGAAATAACGAATTCTTTATTTATCACGTAATTGGATAAAATTAGAACTCTCGGTTTTTATTTTGAAAATTCTATTATGTTATATTTACCGTTCTTTTAAACCGTAAAAGTTGAATGTAACTATAGGACCATTTATTAATACAAAGTGGGTAAACATTTATCGGGTAAAAGTTACCACTTTCACCTATCTTACAATAACCGGTAATCAAAGTAACATGGTATGCGAGCTGACTAATCCCAGCACGACCACCTGCTTTGCAGATAGTCTGGAGTCACCACATTTGAACCTCCGTGGCCACAAGGGGATTTTTATTCCCCCTTGGATTAGAATCTGGGACCTATTGGTACTTTTGACCTTTGGAGCCAAGCTCAAACCAATCAGGCCAATAAGATTCTTGATTAGCAAAACGGAACGATGAAATTGTTGGTAAATATCATTATCTTTTAGGTTGCTGGTACATAGGACGGGATGGGGACAAAACTCACTGTCCCATGTTTCGTGCAACATATGACAGAACAAGAACTCACGGTCCTACGTTCGGCGTGACATGGGACAGGAACAAGAACTGGGATAATGTGGGTCAACATGGGCTTGTTCCACCAAAATAGGTGGAACAAGATGGGACAAGAATAAGACATAAACTAAAATATTACTAATTTACCCTATTTTGATATATAATCTTAATATGGTATCTGTTTTAATGGTCATCACCGCTAGTCCAACCGCCGCCACCACCACCAGCAGTCACTGACGGCCACCTCCACCTCCTCTTCCACTACAACAACATCCTCCATCGCCTCCACAACCATCGTCCATCGCCACCTCTACCATAGTTGACCACCTCCCACCATCGTCCATTGGCACCATCGCTACCGCCGTTTGCCACCTCCAACTCCTCCTCTACTACAACAACCTTTTTCACCATCTCCACAACCACCGGCTACCACCATCTATTGCTACCTTTACAACCATCACCCACCACCGACCACTACCACCAATTACCACCAACACTACCACCGTTGTCCACCTACAACTCCTCCTATACCGCAACAACCTCCTCCATGACCTCCATAATTACGTTCAACTGTCGACCACTGACCACCACTGTCTATTGCCACCTCTACAACCACCATCAGCCATTGACCACCACCATCCATTGGCACCACCACTACCACCGTTGGCCACCTCCAACCCCTCCTCTACGACCTTGACAACCACCGTCGACCATCGATCACCACCGTCCATTGCCACCTCACCTCCACCATAACCACCATCATCTTCAATACATCAGCTACAACTACCTCCTATACCGTTGTCAACCGCCAACACCACCACAATCCACCATCTTCACGTCCTCTATAACCACCGTCGTCCACCACCCACCACCCACCACTACCTCTACCTCCATAAGCACCGTCAACCACCAAACACCATTGCCCATCGCCACTACTATCGCTGGCCACATCCACCTCCACCGTAACCAAAACCACCTCCACCACCACCACTACTACCATCAATTATGTCAAATCTTTTATCCAAATTCGGTACCATTATATATGTATGTATTCATTTATATGAAAACTGTGTAAAAATATTTATAAATCAAATTCTTTATATTTTTACTTTATTGTGTTAATTATAACTATTATATAATATTTAAAATCATCAAATAACTTTGGGAGTAACTTGTCTAGTTATGTTCCGTTCAGTAATAGTCGTATCAAACACCAGACATACACCAGTCTAGTCTCGTTCAGTCCGGTCCAGTTCTACCCTCTTGTCCTATCCAGTTCTGTCCTGTCATTTCTGCATATCAAACGCTACCTTACTGAATAAGCGTCTCTTACCCGATAAAAAATAATAAGTATTTAGTTAACTGATAATATACGATAAGTGTTTTGTAAACAACTCTTAAATCAAAATCAATCAATTTACTTCAATTTAATTAACTTATATATGTTCATATTAAAATTAAGTAGAAATAATACGACCCACAAGTTTGATCAAAAATGGATTAAAAAAAACCGGCCGGTTTAAACCCGGCTGAAAACACATACGTTAAGTAAAACCCTAGAAAACCTTCTCCCCTAAGCTTTACGTTGCGTGGCTTTCTTGACACGCTTTCTCTGAAAACGACATCGGATTGTATTATACATCCACTTTTGTCACCTTCTTCAACTTGTAATTACATAATAATTTGAGCATTTTACGTTTTTAGTCCCTATGGTTTGTTAAAAGTTGCAAATTTTCTCCCCATAGTTTTAAAATTGCGGTTTCCAACCATTTGGTTTTTAATTCATGACTATTTTCGTTCATAAGACTAAAGGTGCGTTTGGTATATTGGACATAACATGACAGAACATGACAAAGATCCCTATCGCATGTTTGACATGACTTTTATGTGGAACAGACAGAAACAAAATTGAACAAACTTGTTCCACCCTACCCCATGGAACATGGTGAAACAAGATGAAACAGACTTATATTTAACCAATATAACTTTAAAATAAAATTTAATTCTCTTCTAAAACATCAAATATGTCTTTTTTTTTTTACATTTTATTCATTCTTTAAATTTTATTTGTTGTAATTTTATGTTTCTTAAACTTTCATTTTACTGTTCTCAAAATATTATTTTTATACGGTTTCTATATTTTTATTAATTTATTATATATTAATAATAAAAAATAATGTAGTAAAAAGATAAATAAATAAAAATGAACAACTCATCAGGGGTAAATCAGTCATTTTACTTGTCCTGTTCTATCCAATTTTATCTTACCAAATGTTGAACAGTTTTTCTATTCTGTCTTGTATTGTCCTGTCTGGACACCAAACATACCCTAACTTCTATTTTTTACAAAAAAAGTAGTATAAACAACTTCTGTATAGTTAATAACACCTATAAGATTCGACCATAAAATATACGTGTCACAGAAGTTTCGAACATTTTTATACAGTTTTAATTAGATTGGTGGGTTATATACACCCCTATCTATTGCCAAGTACACCCTTATTTATGAATTTCTTCCTCACACACATCAACATCAGTTGTTACTTTTTACTTTTTTAATATATGATTTGATCTGATTTTGACTTTTATAAGGGTGTAAATAGTATTCCCCTTTTAGGTTTGAAAGGGTGTCCAAATTATAATATTCTTACTTTCTCAATCAAAGTTATTGGAATGGTTGATAATATTATAATTAAAACAAAAAGTAGTTTAATTATTTATCATGTATCGAACGAGTAAATGACATTATTAACCTCCATAATCTTAGTTTCTCTACCCTTTCATTCACGACTAATTACACTGCTCAGTTTTCTTGGTACGAAGCCGATTAATCATATAAACGCAATGATTGTACGTATTGATCATTATCTTTAAACATTCAATGATCTAAATAACGTTTCAAAGTTGGAAGCGTTTCGTCCACTCAAGAAGTCATTTCATACGAAATTTCTGATGTAAATGCATATGAAACGTTATTTCAAAGTGTCATATGTCATCGTATTGACGATATATTTGACGAGTTTTGGCTTTTTCACACTTTCCCATCTAATACTTTGCTTGAAATGAAAAGTATACTCGAAGAAATGATCACATTTATACGGAATAAAAAGTTGGTGTAATTTTGCTATTCATGATTATTTGCTACAACCACATACACATATAGAGCAAATTATTGCATACATACATATATAGTTAAGTTAAAGAGCCATTTTGGGGGATGGGGTGGG